TAATGATAATGATAATGATGATAATGATGATGATAATAATAATGATGCTAATAATAATGATAATGATGGTGACGATGACGATGACAATGCATATAACTATAATGATGACAATAAAAACAATGATAATAGCTTACCTTGGAGTAATACGCAGCTAAAATGTTTCCAAAATTTCCCGTAGGAATACAAACGTCAGCTTTATCTCCCATAGAAATGACTCCTTTCTTCACAAGATCAAGATACGACGAGGCGTGATAGACAACTTGAGGAACAAGTCTTCCCCAGTTGATTGAATTCGCAGCTGTAAGATTCACACCAAAATTTTCTTGAAGTCTTTTACAGAAAGATACATCGTTGAAAACGTTTTTGATTGCACTTTGGCAAAAATCAAAATCACCTTGAACGCCCAGGACGTCGACGCTCGAGTTATCCATCGTTATCATTTGTGCTTTTTGTATTGGACTCACTCCCTCATTGGGATAAAGAACGAATACTTTAATAGAGCTGTCGTTTGCGAATCCGTCCAGCACCGCACTCCCAGTGTCTCCGGATGTAGCTACTAGAATAAGATACTTCCGAGTATTCTTTGAGGAATTTACAGCCTCGCGAAAGAAGTGAGGCGTTAGCTGTAGAGCAAGGTCTTTGAACGATGCAGTCGGGCCATGAAAAAGCTCCAAAATATAACAGTCATCGTTTAGTTTTATTACGGGTGCAATTTCACGATGTTGGAAGTTTGTATGGTAGGCCTTTTTGATCATTTGATGTAGTAAGGAAGGGTGAAGATCGAGAGGCGAAATCCATTTTTCTAGTATTCTTAGTGCGCGCTCTTGGTATGTGCATTGGGTGAGCCTAGACCACTCACCTGAAAGGTAAATGAGAAACGAAAAATAAAATAAAATGAAAGGAAAAACAAAAAAGCCCTGCATATAATAGCGATGGCCTTTTAGGTTGAATGCATGTTTGGCGCGTCAAAATTTGCGCACTAGTCCCACAACTACTTTCCGACTCTTAAATGGCTTCCTTATTCATGGAACGTGATTGGATGCAGTGGGAATTTCTGATTGGATCAGGTTGAGTGCATGTTTTTGCGCCAAAATGTGCGCACTTGTCCCCCAACTTCTTTCCAACTCTTAAATGGCTTCCTTATTCATGCAACGTGATTGGATCAGGTTTAATGCATGTTTGGCATTTATGGAAGTTTCTAATAGGATCAGAAAGAGGGCCAATTAAGAGCAGAGCACAATAATGGTCGTCATATAGTTTTACGTCTACTTTTAACGAAGTGGTTTTCAAGATCTGATGCCACATAAATGATCAAAAACGAATACCTGACACAATTGTTAGTGGTATACAGCTATTTCAAAAAAGGTTAGTGAAGGTTTCAGTTTTGCATGTTGCATACYAAGCCAAAAAACTAAACTATAGGCAATGTGAGTTTAATAGCCGACAACAATATGAAAATTTCACAAACTTTGTCTACACATTTTTAGTATATCTTATTCTCTGCTGAAAAAAACTTACATATAAATATATAAAGTGCAAGCTTGGTAAGCAGCATGCAACAAAACCTACACAAAACTTTTTTTGAAATAGCTGTATACAACTAACAATTTTGTCCACATTTTTTTGTTGAAATTTTCGTATAAATTATGTTTGTAAAAAGAAACCATTTCCTTACCTAGAGTCATGTGCGGTATCTTTTGTGCAGGAACGAAAAGTCCTCCATCAGCCGCAAGACCCTGAAGCACAACATCTAAGAAGCTAGTGTTTTCTTTGAATTCTACTGGTTTGTGTCTTGTGCTTACGTAACACGGCCGTGTTTCCATGGAGCGCACACCTTGTATCACCTTGTCTGTTATACGTTCGGGAGATTCATTTATTTCGCAGGTTATTCGTATGTCGTAATTGGTCTCGTAGAATTGTTTCCGGTACTTTAATATGTCTTTGATTGTGCTTCCTGGTCAAAGTAGATTAGACTTACAGTTAATATTAGGATTAAAGTCTTATTTCAGTTCACTTTTGAAGGAATGGCAGTCGGATTTGAAATCGGAGTTCAAAAGCAGTTAAAAGGACCTGCGTACACGCATTACAACCCGCGCGCGCACGTGCATATCTCGGGTGAATATAGGGCGTACAACCCAAAAAATGTGCGCCAGATATCTTTTAATGAATTTCGTATGCATATATCAATAGATGCACTGAAAGAACTAAAAAATTCACTACATGAGGCGCGTATCTAAAAAGATGTGTGCACAAAGTTGGAAACATAAATCATAGTTTATAACCATGCATAAAAGCAATGCACGATGACACTCTTACAAATGCGCATGCATATAACAGCACGCGCACCTCTCCAGTGCACATACAAGGCAATCACTCACATACATCCGCTTGGAAACACGCATAGTGCGCCGAACATGTCTCATACAAATGCGCACACATGCGCAGACCAACAATGCCGCGGGAAAATATTTTTTAATTCGTGTAGCTTCAGCTTTGAATATTCTTAAAACAGAGCACTGATGAAGAGAGGGGGTAAAGTGCGCACCATCGGCTTCCATTGATAGCGGTAGAATTTCAACTGAAGGAACTACCGACGTTATAAGTAGAATTTCCGTTTGTTTCTTTCCTGTTCTTTGAGGGTTTTTCAACGGGTTATCTGATTATCTGATTATCCTCCCGTGAATGACTCCACAAAAAACAACGGGTTTGTTAGCTACAGGTGCTAAGTGCTACCCTACGTAAGTACTACTTCTTACCATCATTTTGCCCAACTATCCTATCAACTTTCATCCTCTCCAGACGACCCAGTATATCAGCATCATCAACGTCAAGATACACAACAGCTCCTAGGGACTGTACATGCTTCATGGCTGACTTATGCATRGGGTTGGAACCAGACAGTGATATCACTGCATCGTTACAACAAAGCTGCAGTAGAGCTTGGCCTTCAGCTTCTATGAATCTATCTGACCCAACCTCAGTAAGCTGTAGGAAGATGTTAGAGATAAGAGAGAGTCCTTTACAAGGAACCATTCATTTGTTTACCATGGAAAGGGGGGGGAAGAAGATGGACTGATTTGTGCAATCAGGTAGAGGGGAGCCATAAAAATTCTGAGTCGCATATAATTTCCACAACAAACAGAATGGAAAACCAGGGAGGGGTCACTTTTTTTATGAAACAACTACCTAGCAAATCTCACTACCCATCCCCCCTCCCCAATAAAGCCCCCAATATTTATGAAAGTGATTTTCCAACATAACTCAAAGTTGGTTTTTGGAAATATATGAATGCAGGCTAGAATAATAATACTAAACTTTTTACCACTTTTTCACTAAATTGCTAGTTTGCAATCCTTCCCATGAGAATAATATAACAAAAGATGTGGCAGCCATGTTGGATGATATAACAAAAGAGATTGATGACAATTCTTTAATTGGATATGAAAACCAGTTATTGTTTCATACTTCACAAAATTCACACTAGCAGTGTAAAGGTAATTATGAGATGGATAACTGATAAATTTTGGGACCAAGAAATTAATTTGGAGAGGGAAGGAAGGTGGGATGGTACATGTACTTTTGCGTCCTATATCAATAAATTGGGTGTCATTGCTGCCATGTCATAGAAAAACCTATAACTATTCCTGTTCTTAGACATAGTTGTTGGAAAGCCACTGTAGATGCTCTGCACTGTTACCTACTGACCTTCTGTGCAACTGTCATACCCCAGACCTTCTCAAGATGATCATTATCAACATCAATGGATGTCTTGCCCATTGCCTCTGCCACCATTCTTCCAACGGTAGTCTTCCCTGCACCAGGACTTCCCATTAGGATAATGTTGTCATTTCTCTGGTAATTATACAAAAATAATGTCATCATCAGATTTGTTTTAAGACACAAGATAGACACAAGATACATATTTTATGTACACTGCACAGTATAGGAACAGATTAGAAAGTAACCTACATATGAGCAGCACAAAAGACAACTAAGGGAAGGTGCTGAGGGAAGAACTGGGGAATGAGAGGAGAGCAGATGAGAGAACAGATGAGAGAAGAAAAGACAAGAAAAGGGGAGTTGTGGTGACAAAACAATAAAATGGGAGGTACAAAATGAGACATGACAAACCAAGTGGAGACAAGATGGGAGTAGAATGGGAGGAGAAGAGGGAAGAAGACAAAGGGAGGAAAGCAAACAAGATGAGGTAAGACAAGATAAGAGGAGATGTAAAGGGGAGAAGAGAAGAGGAATAATGTGAGCACTGCCGTTGGGCTTCCTGTGGTTTGTTTACGTGTCCAATGTTTTTTTAGATCTCCAGCTGATTCCAGAGGTTTTATTCGCTGTTTTGTTTTTATTAAAAGTAGATAAATCAAGTTTTACATAACAATCGAATGTCCAACAAATATATATAATGCTTTACACATATAAACAAAAGAATCTACCACTCAAAAAGTCTAAAAAAGATATGGAAAATTCGTGTACAATTTTGAATTTCACAAAGTCTTGAATAAAGTGTTTTTCTCGAGCCAAAGTAAGCTTACAAGTCAATAAATTGATAGAAAAAGGCAACTATTATTCTTAAATACTAGTAATATTAGAGAAATATTTTTATTTAATGATTAATGCGCTTACCTTCTTTAAATGCTCCACATAGGATGAAGCAAAGGCCCGTCGCGTGAAAACTGGCTTGTATTTTAGGCGGGAAAAATCCTGGAAAATGTGTAAGCATGTACGTTTGTACATGACTGGATAATTTATAACCTTCTATATTATTTAGTGATTATAGCACAAGTTTTACTGGTTTACAGGATTTTTAGAAAGAGCTAACCACAACTGCCGCATGCAAGCTTTCGGGCCGTCTGTAACACAGGGATACCGAAATTGTCTTTATTTAGAGGGTAACGGTCGGCCAAGATTGATTTTATGCAGGGTGAAAATGGGTGTTTGCATTCATCTGGAAGGAGTTCTGAAAAATGCACATCACAAAAAGGTTGGGTCAGGATATCAGGATAGAAAAAACATGAACATGGAATATCTAATTTTGTACCAGACCCCTCCCCCTCCAAATAATGATGAAGAAGAATGAAATTTTTCTTTGTTTAAATTTTTGAGATGAAATTTAAAATTCGAGGGAGGATGCAGCATCTGGTTTGCACTAGGGGAGGAGGAGTTGGAGGAGGAGGGGGAGGGGGGAGAGGGAGGAAGAGGGGGGGGGGTGTGGACATAAGAATTGCAACTTATTTCCCAGTACCCTTCTTAAGACCATCCACCAAACGACCACTAAATTGTTTACGTGTTTTCAAAAAAAAATTTGACTAGTGGATTACACAGTTTTTAAAATACAGAATGAACATGAATGGAATTTAATTATGTCAAATATTATTACTGCAGCTTTCAATATTGAATGTCACCAGCAAAATAAAACATTTGAGCGTGCACATCACAGGAAGCAAGTTCTCAGAATATTGAAAACCACAGTGTGCAGTATTATAAAATGTATAGCAAGAACTGAAATTTTAATATTTAAAACCATTTTCTCTGTGCTTGTTTCAAAGGAATTGAAATGTAAAGAGGTAGAAAATAGTAAAAATAGGAATAAAAGGAAATGAAGAAAGAGGAAAAAGAGAAAAGGACTGAAGAGAAAGGGAAACATAATTTTTGTAAAAGAGGCATAAACCAAGTAAAAGTCCCTTTAAATTGTTTGTGGATTTTATGCTCTGTTAGAGCGATTTTACCCTGGGCTCCAGAGCCAGTTCTAATTCGCTTCCTGTGTTTTCTGTCTAAACAGTAAACGGCAGAGTGAAAAATTATTAAATAACCTCTGGATCCCAGGGTAGAGTGATTTTACTTTGCAGTGAAAGAATAATCAAGGTAATATATAGTAGTAGACACTAATTCCATTGCCTTCTTTTGTTTTACTTTGACTGTCAGTCGCTAATTATATGACTTTGTTTCATGGGCCAAGTAAAATCACTCTACAGCATAAAAAAAACTTTGAAATGAAGAATTTTTCATTAAGAAGTGCAAAACGAAGTTCGATAACTGATTGTTTGTTATATGAAATGTTATTCATTCAAAAGCCACAACCATCACTGAATGTACAGTCAGACATCATGAGGGCAAAATTATGGATGTAAATTTCAATCTAGTGGTCTTTATATTGCAACATTGAACTCTAGCTATTTTACACTTGATGATGGGGTGAAGATAACTCTGAAATGCATGCTTTGTTAGTATCATTGAATTTTGTAATATAAAAATAATAATATTATTTGATAACATTATTTTTCATATTATTGATAGCGAGAAACTACTTTCCAAAATAGTACTTTGTTGGCACAAATGGCATTTTAACAACTGTGGTAGGTATCTTTTTCTTGTATASTGCTAGTTGTAGTGGTGTTCCTATTTTAGACTTCGGAGTGTCTATGTAAGCCATGGCTATATTTTGCTTTAAGCTTGGAGAAGGACAACCACTTGTCACATGACCTGTTACGCAGATGTACAAATATCTTAGTATTGAATCATGCATTAGCATCATGAATAATTAGCATTGAATCATTGCATAAAAGTTGTCAAGTTGTCTTATTTGCAAAAAGAATGACCACATGAAAACAAACAGGCAGCTTTGCATCGAAATGTGTCAGTTTGATGTACAAAAGCCGGTGCATAAAAGTATGTAAATACATCGTAGCCAGACATACTTTTGCACACCATTTAAAACAAACAATATTGCACAATATTGCACAAACAATATTGCACAAACTTACCAACTTCATTGCCATCTTCATCGAGCACTTTTGTCCCAGCTGAAATATGATAAAATTATATAAAACAAAGAATTGGTTTTATTAAATCAATATGTAGCAAATTGCTAGATTCTTATATTTAAGCTCAGCACTAAATCATATGTGCAATTTCATGTAAATAATAGATATCGATGATTCTTAATACATCCTTACATTAATTTTTTTTTCTGATCTATTAATATTAGTGTTTATTYATTTATTGTATATTTTCTATGATTATTTTGCTGCTTATTTATTTAATTCTTGTAATATATTTAATATTTTTTTCTTATATGAATATAATTATATTGTAATTAGAATTAATATACCTCTCTCGACAATCAAATTTTATAAAATTATTGTTATAAATATGCTAGCTGCCTATCTTGGCTAACCTTTAGGTTATTATAGGTAGCTTGTGCCTGAATTCTTGTTAATTTATATATATATGACTTGTAAATATCAAATTGAGGTACCAAATAATAAAGTATGTATGTATGTATGTATGTATGTATGTACTCTAGGGAATGGCACACCATCTGGAATGAGAAAATTGAGTTGTTTTGACATTCATGTATTTTCTCATGCACTTAACTATTGAACAAAGAAATTATACTCTAGGGAATGACACATGGTCTGAAATGGTAGAAAACAATGAGTTTGATCTAAATTTATGTGTCTTCTCATGCACAACCGTTAAACGAAGAAATGATTCTCTAGGGAATGACTCATGGTATGAAATGCATAGTACCTCTTGCTGGTGGACCTGTCGATATAAGACCAATCCTTCTGCATTTTGGTTTGTCTTTGATCTGCTGCAGAATGATGTCAGCACCAGGGAAATTCCTTTCTGCTCTTCTACGTTTCCCTAAAATACAAAGATAATCCCATATAAATACAATTTTACCTTCACAGTTCCCTGCACCATTTTGAAAGGTAGCTGTGCCTTTGCATCAAAGTCAGACAAATGGTGAGCTTGCAATGATAGAGACATGTGAATAATTATTGTCCAAGGTGTTAAAAAAGGTCTCTATCATTGCAAGCTCTCTATCCTCTCGCTTTGATGCAAAGGAACAGTTACCTTTCAAGATAGCACAAGGAACTGTGAAAGGGACTATTACAAATCATGCATGCAGTTCATCCAAATCAAGTCACAGACAATGTTAATCTTGCATCACATGTGATAAGGGTTTGTTAAGTTTCTCCCTTGATTCAAGGGTTTTCTCAGGGCTATCTGTTTTTTCTCTCTTCATGAAACCTAACATGCTATATTCCAATTCTATTTCCAACTCCAATTTCCTGGTATCGATAAAATTTGAAGCTATGCATGCAAAGAAACCACTAGCATCTCTTTTAAATTATTTTATGCAACAAAACTAAACCACTTATCAATATACAATATTTTCTACTATAACAGTCAGACCATGTAATTATACTTAAATTACCTATTGTCCATACAAGCACTCCTTCAACAGGTGTAGTATCCTCATCAATATCATTACCGTACAAGCAAAGACCTGCTTCTAGTCGCAAACTATCTCTTGCTCCAAGACCTGCTAGTTTGACTTCAGCTTCTTGATGGCCCAAGAGAGCATTGGTGAGGTCTATTGCATGTTCCCTGTCTACTGATAACTGTCAAAACACATAGATTGGCACTGGGAATCAAGGGTGACATAGTGGTAATGCATGAGTTACCTCTCACCTCTAGGGTCTCATGTTTTGCCTAGCATACCAGCTTGTCATGCAATGTTTTTTGATAACAGCCAATGACATGTCATCATGCAAATCATATATTTCCCTTAATTACACTCATTTCAGTTGTATAAAATAAAATATTGGTTCTATTGGTGCACCTGCAGTGCAATGCTTTTAATGGTGCAAAAAAACTGTGAGGCTAGTTGCAAGCATCATTGCCAACCACCGTACATTGCAGCAGCAAGGCTTAAGCTTTTAACCCTTAGGCCAAAGGCATGATGCATTGACCATCTTACATGTATGCTATCATGTTAACATATTCTTAAATATAAGCCTTACTACAAAATATCAGGTTTACATTTTAAAATGCAACTCTTGGACTACGTTTGTACCTCAAATCCATCCTCTCCTGTGTACCCACATCTTGTAATGCGCACACCCTTTATTCCAAACACACTGGTCGTRGCTCCATTCATAAAGGTGAGCTGTGATAGGTCACCATCCACTCCACTTTGAAGCACACTTACTGCCTTGGGCCCTGTAAAAGAACTGGTCTTAAAATCTTCAAAATAATTGCACACCCTGTCTCTCTAAAGAGCCAGGTTTAGTATGATGGTCAAAATTTTGGAAACAATGTTCTGAGGGATCTATCTATGAAATCATGACCCAACAAAAACACTTTTTTTTATCACTATTTGCCGATTGAGACAAAAGCACCATCGGCTTCCACTGATAGCAGTTGAATTTCAACTGAAGGAGCTACTGACGTTAAATATACAGAAGGTACTTCACTTTACCTTTTTATTTCAAGAAATTATTTCCTTTTACCTTTTCAGGGTTCCCGTGTACATCTTTGCTATCCCTCAGTTTTATTCATTGACAGTGGTCTATTGTCCATTTACTAGAGTTAACTTTTCTCAAATCATCAAATTTGAAAATTGTTTGAAAATTCTATTTCAGGTCAGCTGTCATTTCCTTGAATATGGTTACTCTATTTCTTAGTGAAGCTTGAGAAGATACATTGAAATGGATGTATTGCACTCCAACAAAATTAATAATATTTATCTTATTCTGATCCATATGATACATAGTTGCAAGCTTAAAATAACGGCTGCTGATAAATGGCATGCATGAAGATGGGCCAGAATTAATTAGGACTGGCCTAATAGGTGTTTGGTTTGGCAAGCGCCAATTYAGGCCACACATTGTCTGTTAAACAGCGAATATATTAAAATTACTACATTGAATTTAGTTTATCAGTCACAGAATACCTTGCAGGGCTACTAGGGCTTTGTCTTCTAATATTTCAACAGCAACATCTTGATCTTTACCTACAGCATTAATTCTATCCTGAAAAAATCAATATATGCAGCCAGATATATATATACAAGTGTGATATTGCAAATCATTCAATCTGATCGCAAACAGGTCTACTAACAATGTCTGCTTGAAGAAATAGAAAATAGGATTGGAAGAACATGAGAGAAGTGTTAAGGAGAAGCATGATGTATAAAAGAAGCAAGCAAGTTTCATCTACATGTGCGCTAAAGCATGTAAATGTTGTAGCTGTTTTCATGTGTCTGTCAAATCCACACCTCTTTGGCAGAGAATTTTTACATTCTGTCAATCAAAATGTACCAGAAGTCAAAAGACATCTGGTATTGTCTTGTTCAAAGAAAAAGACATGCTTACATGTATTCTATTCTAATTAACTATCCCACAAGATGGGGTTTCATCTTTGGGGACTGGAGAGAGAGGAATGGAGGGCTTGTTACACAGGCCACATGAACTACTTTCCTGCCTCATTCCTAGGGCTTACAGTTCGTATAACTGTCAGTAAACTTACATGTAAGTGTGCTTTTATTTTATCAGCACATCCCGCATTTGACACCACGTACAATTCATTAGCCATCTTGTTTATAATCAAATCGTCTTTTATCCCTCCATGATCATTAGTAAATAACGACAAAGTCCCAGTATTTTCAGCGAGGCCTTGTATATCAGCTACCACTAGGCTCTCTAAGAACTTGACTCTGTCTTGACCATGAACCTTGAACTGAAGCATGTGAGATACATCAAAGATAACAGCATGCTCACGAGCATGGAGGTGAGATTGAAGCACGCCATCTTTATATTGCACAGGCATTGACCAACCACAAAACGGGACCATCTTTCCACCATGTTCAAGATGGAAGTCGTGGAGGACTGTTTTCTTTAATTCTTCCTAAGCAATTTAAGAATTTGGGTTTAAGCTTAAGTTTTATTTATTTGCATGTATTTTATTTTATTTAATCTTCCAAATAAATGTAAATATGTGCTCCTTTAGACCAACTAGACACATTCATATTTGCATATTCCTAAGCGCCTATAGGCATACTACTCTTCCCAGTAAACCGTTACACCCCACGTTTTTTCAACCCATCCAGAGGAGCTTTTAACAAATGGCATAAACAAATTTTGATCAGATGGTACATCCAAAAGCTCATCATGTGGTACCCAAAATGCGATCGCGTGATCAATTTTTCTCAGCCGCGGGCGGGTTTAGGAGCTCCTCTGGATGGGTTGAAAAGACGTGGGGGGTAACGGTTTACTGGGAAGAGTAGTATTAACAAACACTTTTCCCATTTTTCATTGACCATGGTACTCAAAATCTCCATAGTAACGTATGCTATTCATAATTTTCCCTCAAATTAATCTTTGTGTTTTGTCTGTATTTATTCGCATACAAACAAACCTACCTTATTTTCAGTCACAAATCTCCGTTTTTGTCCACAAATAACAGAAAGAGAAACCTGGCTACGTGAAGCTCGGCGATTTACTAGCCTTAGAAGTGAGTTCATGATCTATGAAACCTATGGTAGCTCGGGCAACATGTACTTATTAAATAGGCTGGTTTTATTTCCTTGAAAGGTGGTTATTTTTGGAGAAAAACCGTGTTTTTGAGGTGAGTTTTAGTTCTTTCTGTTGTTTACTATCCGATGTGAGCACGCGAATTACCAGCGGTATCGTTAGAGCGCATGAGCATTGAGTGCGCTTCTCATGGGAGCTTGAAAAGAATTAATCAGAAGGAAGAAAAACTCGTTGCAAAAACGCCCAAAAATGCTTTATCTAGAAGACTACCTTGAACGTATGTATCTTAGATATCTATATGGTTTATCCTTCTAAGCACTCAGTTAATTTTTAATCCAAAAAGACCAAAATTTAGGACTTTAGGGCGAATTTTTGAAAGTGTGTAATGGCGGCAACGCAGTTGTTTCTTCGCGGGGGGTAAACGCAACACGGGCTCCTAAATTGATATTTTCTTTCCTTAAATGAGAGTATTTCTTTATTTCTTAACAGATATGGGATTATCGTTTCTTGTTTTGGGTTCTGATTCGATGTTTTCTTTTGTTTTRAGGATTTAAAGAGTTTGTTTTGGTCCGTTTTTAACAGTCATGCGCATTGAAGCAACGCAATACTTGGAATACAAGACAGACTCTGAAAATAATTGGCGTTGAAAAATTAATTCTGGGACGGTTTTTTTTGTAAAAAAATTCAAACTTTTCAAAAATTCAATATTTACATTTTCTTATTTCTTTTTTATGACGCTTTTTGATTCTAAATATTTCGGAAAAACGAATTAGTCTTAAAAGTTGGGAATTCAAGATGGCGTCTCTAAGAGTCACGTGACAATCGAACTTCAAATGGGGGAGGGGTGGTCGATAAGATATAGGAAGGCCAGCTTTTTGCAAATTTATTGTCAAAGCTCGAAATATTTTTATTGTTCTAAGAATCCTTGWCACACAGCATCTTGGTTTACATATTTTTAGATATTTATTTTAGAATTAATTAATTTTATTCTTCAATACAATACAGCTATCATATTTTTGGTTTTGCATGTTCTCTAAAAAAAGTGCAAATTTGCTATTTTTACTACATCTCAATATTTATATTATTAATTTTTGGAAGAGTTTTGCTTGAAAAATAACATTTAAAAAAGATTGAATTTTATAGCTGTGCGATCATAATTCAGATATATGCATAGGAACATCAGCTCTCACAGAAACCCCTAATATTAATYAAGGAACTGTGGAACACCCTAAAATGTGGAAGGGCTAAAGTAAGGAAGGATTGGGTCATTGAAATCACCAATGCTTAATATTATTACCATGCAGGAAACAATATATTCGTACTGCTGTAGTCTAATATTCCTAATACCCTGATCCCTCTCTGGAGGCCGGCTCTTGTGACACATTAAAGCTGAATCACAAGAGATCACATTAACAGTTGACTTTCCATTTAATTAGACACATTAAGGAAGCTGCATTGAAAAAGTTAACGTAGCTGAATAATTACATTGCTTAAATTTCTCCACTAGTTATTGAACAGCTACCACTAGAGCTTAGAGAGAGGTTCACTGAAATGAGAGAAATGGACCTACAAGTGCAAAGTGAGTAGAACTCAGTTAGCAGTTTCTCTATATTGGGCTCCCTGTGGTTATTTGACACAGGGAGCCCAATCTACATTTATAAAATTAATTAGAAAATTAAAAGAGAAAGCACCTTGTTCTTAATTCATTGGAAAGATGGAATAATGTTTAAAATGAGTGTGTTGTTTTGTAAGGGGAGGTAGAAAGTCACCCAAGGCTCTAAAACCACAGGTAGCCCAAGCATTCATGTTGAGTAATAAATAAATGTACGCAAATCTTTTTTTTCTTAGATTCAATAGACGATTTAGACATTCGAGTGAAGCAGTTTTTTATGAACTGCAGAAAGGCCAAACCAGAATGGAAAGATCAACAATATAAACAAATAAAGGATGTAAGTGTTTAGTAGTTGCTGTATATTCCTCATTGAATTTACCTGTACCATGATTTTGGAAAGCATTTTTGTTAATATTAATGTAATTATAGGAATACCAAAAATCACTGGAGGATGCAGAAGAAAAAGTTACTATAGCAGGCCAGATATATGACCTTGTAAGTTTTATAATTATTATTATATCTTTAGTGTATAACAGAATGCGTAGATAAGAGTTAAACTTAAACTTGTCAGTTTCATTCCATTTGATATAATAATAGATTACAAACACGTGAAATATATATTCACAAAACAAAAAAAAAAGACAAACATCTGATGATGATGATGATGATGGATACGGTAAATGCGTCTCGTCATTAAGAAATGTTGGAGGGCTCTGTTATCAATTGAGCAGGACAATTAAAAGGATAATAGTAATACAATTTATTCATTAATGCAAAGTTTAAGCATAGCAAAAGATATGGAGGTGATCATCAGCATCAACATACCTTAGATAGCTGTGTGTTTATCCCAGAGTGGTGATTAAATCAATAAACAAAACAATACTAATTAAACATTCATATATTTTTCTCCAAACAGGTAGATAAACACCTTAGAAAACTAGACCAAGAACTTACTAAATTCAAAATGGAACTAGAAGCAGACAATGCTGGGATAACAGAAGTTCTAGAACAGCGTATGTACTATAGTAACTACATTCCAGTACAATGAATCATGGCAGCAAATTTTGCATGAAATATAAAACTCTCACTGGGGATGTGCTGTGATAATGAGATTGATAGGATGATGCTCCATTGTGCAATATTGATACTACTGACAGTCATATTAGTATCTTCAATGTGTAATTCCAGAAATTATTCACAACCCAACAGAGGATTTTTTAAGACCCATCCTACCCCTAAAAATTTCACTTTTCTTCCATACAAACTCTGTAATATTTTGTTCTTTCTCTGACCCCCCCCCCCCCCTCCCCAAATTCCAAATTTCATATATAGTATCTCTCTCATTTTTACTTTTCTCTACTTCCAGGGTCTTTAAGACTAGATGAACCAATACATCCACCATCACCGATGCGGAATAATCATTTAACTCCATCGTCACAAACATTTAACTCTCAAAGTAAGTCTAAAAATTATCATGTCTAAGAATTTAAATATAATACGATCTTGCTTATTGTTTGGTGCTTTCGAGTGAATACATGAAAACGTCCATGAAATTGAACTTTTTTTTTGCTTTATGGAGGATAACACTTACAGTAATTTTAACTGATAAACTTGTGGTCCTCTTTTAGCGTCTCTAGTCAATTAGGAACAGGACCGCTGTTAACGTGGTCATCCGAGCCACATGATCTAACATTTGCAGATGCAATAACAAAGGGAGCATCTTCTCATCAGTTATTTTAAGACCCTGAGTGTTGGTCCCAGCCAAGGCTTGAACCACGACTTCCCGCACAACAAACCAACGCACTTGAATGTCATTACTAATTTTGATTTCTGTTGTTTTCTAAAGAACGSAAGTACAGTCAAGTAGACGTAGTAAGCAATGATATAACCAATGGAGAACATAGTTTATTAATGCCTACCTACTCCAGCTACAGTCCGCTTAGTTCATATACTCAGATGTCACCATCTCCTAAAGTATCCACTCCTCAGTCACCATCACCTTCTATTTCATTTACAGTCGGTAAGTATTAGTGATTGAAGGTACTAGATTCTGACAGCAYGTAGCCCAGTATAATCAGAAAATGGTGAATCTGTTAGAGCAGTTTTCATGGGRAACGAGGGTGGGAAATGATAACCATACTGTGAATAATAATTATAGTATCTTACTGTAACTGTGAAACCATAGCCGTAACTATGTTTTAGTTGGATGACTTACTTGAAGACCATAGGAAGCCATTTCAGTGTTTCAATTATTTTTATTCAACAGCAGTGAAAAAACAAATTTATACAACTACTGACATTGCATAACAATGAAAACTGCTATGAAACGGTTACAATTATTAAATTGAGATTACTGCTTACATGTATCCAAATGCTGGACACCTGTGTCTAGCTTATACAGTATGAATTTTACATTTTATGTTCATGTTAAATCTGCCATATTGATGTTTAGGATGGTTGAAATAATTCTTCAACATTATGATTCATGTTTTCGTAGGTATGCTTGGTGCAGGTTCCAATGCTGCAGCTCATGCAATGTCGAACACAGTACAGATGCAACAGAGTAGAAGAGTGGGCAATGCATTAAAAACCCCTTACGGTACTTCATATAAAGGGAATACAGACTACCTAGGTAGGWGGCTGTTATGATTCATCCTTGGGGACAATTCAACGGCGTTCTCTCTTGGGTGGTTCATACTTTCGCCTTGAGCATATGGGGTGCGTTCATGATCAATTGCCTCTGGCTAGGGAGGCTGAGCAATGACATGGGCAAGGTCACAGCTCTAAGAAGATCTAACCCATTGGATAATACAATATTTAATACAATAGAAGCAGAAACAATATAAACTAAACTTGAGAAAGAGTTGACATTGAAAATTATTGTCTGTTTGGGTGCAACATTACTGGACRATACACAAAAAATATTTTCTTTCTTATTATATTTACCATCACTGTCGATCCCTCAGTCACTTCATTCTTCTATGTACTATAGGTACAGGACTTGGAGTAATACCAAGCAGTAGTAGTGCTGGAAATATCAATGGTCTACAGTCTGGGAGTTTTGAAACCCCTTCTCCCATGCCACCATCCCTTACCATGCCTGTCACTCCCGTGGAACCACAGACCCAGTTAACTGTTCCTACAGCAACATCGTCACAGAGAAAAACTAAGAAGTAAGTGAATACCTTAGTAAAGGATTGTGATCACATGGTTTGTAGGATTGTCATGTTGAAACATATTAATAGGTAAAAAAATGAAACAGCTATATATATGCCATCACACATCCTAAAATTCTCATCTAACATTAGGAAAATTTTCATTTTCGATGGCAAGYTAGTGTAACACGAGTTTGTTTTTATCCTTATCAGAAATAAATTGCCRTCSCAAATGGCTGAAGCTGCACCAGCATCAGCTCAAGTTGCAGCACAGGATGCAGCTGAAGCAGCRGCAGCTGTACCCGAGTGGTTTTATGATCCTGATGAGCCAAGATACTGTCTATGTAATCAGGTAATTAGCATCTAGAYGTTTAACTTTGCATGATTTAGGAAAGAGAGTTCATAACTTAGTTTCRACAGGGTGTTATGGCCATGGTATGGATGTTCTCTTAAACTGTGAAATTCAACATTCTAGCCTGTATTTATTTTTTTGCCCTATCTTYGTAGGTATCATATGGTGAAATGGTTGGATGCGACAACCCAGACGTAAGTATAGTTTAATCGACAGTAGTTTACTGTCAATGAAATATATTGTTAGAGGATGGTTCTCATATACCTTTATGTGCTCCRACATGCAAAATGTTTTGCCCAATATGTAAATGAGATAATTGACAAATTGGTAATAATCATTCAATGAGTTATGACAGTATAATTTGTCGTTTTTAACACGTTTCTTTACCTCTCTTGATCAGTGCGCAATTGAATGGTTTCATTATGGCTGTGTTGGCCTCACAGATGCACCTAAAGGCAAGTGGTACTGCCCGCAATGTGCCACTCAACTCAAGCAAAAACGAAGTCGGCATAAGTAGCTCAACAGTAGTCAACATTTCGAACAAGATCCAAGGTTCCTGTGATGATCCAAGGACTGAATTACTTCATGGATATCTCACACTTCTTTTGACAATAGAGAAAAACATTGTTGCCATCCAGAATCAACCAACCAATTCATCAKTAAAGCTACTGCAAAATCGGCATGGGCACGCAGGATGTTACTATTAAGGAGGTGATGCATTCTGGTCCAGCTTGGGGTCATCACACTGTTGGTAAATCATCACTAAAGCCATTCCAATCAATATAGGCACAGGATATCACTATTTGGGAAGTGATGCATTCTGATTTACAGCTGTATCTTAGGGGTCATCACACCCTCTGTACTGTTAAAAGTGTCGTAGCTCTTGGCAAGAAACATAGGATACTGTACATAACATAGTACATAATGAACTTTACTCCATTGTAAATCTTATAAAATATTTTCGAGTTTAATCAGCACGCGAATGTGCATTCTATTATTAATGAAATCCATGCTGTACATCATTTACAGCCTCCGAAGGTTACAAGTATGCAAAAAAACTGTTGCTTTCTCAAAATTACAAGTCAAAACCTAGTAAGAATTCATTTTTAGATGCCACGTATATATATATCATAATTTATTTCACAATAACCTTGCGCTGAATTATCTTACATTATTCACTCCACCAGTTTCTTCACGTGTTCATGATGATGATAAATGCGTAGGTATTTAATTAGGGGGTGGGAAAAGGGGTACATATCTCATGTTTTTTCCAAGYCGTGTTAAAAAAGTCACTAACCCTGAGTAATATTCAGGTAAACTCTGTAGTAAAACTTAAATTTAGATTCGAGTTATATTTGGGATGACTAAGCAAAAATGTCTCGGATATGCCAAAATAATAACGGCAGGGGAGTTTATCAAAATAGGATAAATAAATTAATATAGACATCTTTAGCTTGGGCGTAATGTTTTCCCATTTCAGACCATGTGTCATTCATTYCCTAAGGTACCATTTTYTCTTGTTAATGGTTGTGCATGAGAAGACAAATTAATATGGATACAACTCTTGAAACATTATTTTCAAAAGAACGAAACTTAGTTTGAAATGGGAAAACATTACACCTAAGCTAAAGATGTATCAATTCCCTCCAAGATGTCATCTTGTGTTTTAAAATAACTGACAAATTTCTCGCGCGCTGATTGGTTAATTTTTATCATCAATAAGAGGACAGACAGATAAAGCTGACGTCAACGAGCGCGCTCTCTTTCCGTTAGTTGTTTTGATCAGTAAAAATGAGAAGTTTTTATCGTTTTGGTTATTGTAAAAAACATTGACATCAGATTTTTATGTGTCTGTCCTCTTATTGACAATAAATTTCGCCATCGCATTGTCAAAGCAGTATGCGGATCCACTCATCTACGCCTCGTGGATCCACACTACTTTGACAATGTGATGACGCAATTTATTGTCAATAAGAGGACAGACATAAAAATCTGATGTCAATATGTTAAGTTTCCTGTTCTCATTATATAACCGTTAATGAAATCCTTACTTTTTGAAAGTCTTGCTTTGCAAAATTTCTTGTCTTGTGAACCCTTCAATTCGTTTGTCAAACATTAATAGGATTTGGTGGACTGGTTATTGGTATTATTCTGTCAGTCATGTAAGTGGGCAGAGCTTTTGCAGATTAGACTCAATAAATTTGTATCAAAGCTGGGTGAGTGTGCATCAAATTAGAAGGTGAAATKAGAAAAGTTAGGGGTCACAATACAAGAAATTCTTGGTAGTCAAACTGTATTATAAAATCAAGTCAAAAATGACATCTCTAACTTGTGAAACTGGTATTATTTCGTCACCACTGTTTTCATTGCTGTGCGTTGATCGCGACAGAAATCAGGAAATAGACTACCATCAATCAAATAAATTGTTCAGTACCTTTACATCCTTTGATTGACGGCATTGTATTGCCCAATTTCCCTGTCTTGATCAGCAGGTAGCAATGAAAACAATGGTGACAATTGCATATTAAAATACATGGAATTCCCATCACAGTCATGTTCATATTCTCTAGGTTCTTTCTTAAAAGATTAATTACATATTTTTGYCAAATATGAAAGTAAGAACAACATATAGTACAATGAGTCAAAATATTATTTATASTAAAGTAAGAAAATATCAACCAATAAAAGACAAGGTTTTTGCTTACCATGATGTCTGSCCTTTATGTAGACTTTCGCAAAGTCTGCCACCCTTTGTGTGTCTCATRAATTTTCACTTTGCTCGAATAAATATCCTCAGGAAACAAGAGAGGTTGACTTGGGACAAATACAAACATTTATATAACCAATAACTTATTATTTTTATCGTTGMTTACAACATGAATTAGCTTCTTGGTAGTTGTGGTACAAACTAAAACGTATACTCTAAAAATTCTTCAACCCTAAATCTTGCGCGTAGGAGACTATTCAACCCTGTGCAAACAACAGA